CACACACACACACAAACACAAACACACACACACACACACACACACACACACACACACACACACAAACAAACAAACAAACAAACAAACAAACAACAAAGGTCAAACCTGGAATTTTAACCATCTGGTCTTTCGGGCCGGGCCTACCAGATCACAGCAAACCTGATAGAAATATGCATTCGGATAGCACCATACTCACTTTCATGGCCAGAAGCATTATTTAAAGGTTTTTTATTCTCTATGCGAGGATCTGGGTCCTCGGAAGGCCTAAGGGCCCCCTGTTGCGTACGTGCCCGCCCTAAGTGAAGGCGGGCCTAACAAATCACGAGAAGACCCTCAGCTGTCAAATTTCGTATTTGGGGTCCAGGCCGTTGTGACGCGCCAGTTGGTTGAAGGGAAACACAGGCCGAGCAACAAAGATATTCCACGGCCGTCTGGGCCTTTGGGCGAGAATCGCAGCCTCATACATTGACGGTTGAGAGGCCCAACCGAAAAAGGCCCAGTGGCTGCAACACAAGCGCAGCATCTTGGGGCGTACCGGAAGCTTCTGGGCCCAGGCCCAGTCCAACCAGGCTGCGAAGGTAGGCAGGCCCTTTCCATATAGGAAAGAGCTCGCCACCGGCAGGCTCATTCAGGCACTCGCATGCTAGCGGCAGCACTGCTGGAGCGGACGCTCGTGGGCTGCTGCTGGCGCTGAGAGGCGAGGTGCTAGCGTGTGCGGTCGTGCAGGGAGCAGGGCGCTGCTGAGGGCAGCGCCATAGCCCAGCCTCCATAGCTGGTTGGGCTTGGGACTACAGTGAGGCGCAGGGGTGGTCTTTGGGTGTATAGAGGGAAGACGTGGGAGTAAGTCAGGGAAGAGAGAAGGATGATGATGATGATGATGATGATGATGATGATGATGATGATGATGATGATGTGAGGGCACATACCTGGTATTGGCGATGGTCTGCATTGGGCGACATCTTCAAGTACTAAGTGGGCTGCTGACGTCAACAGTTGCATTGTCCATTAGTAGGCAGACTGTAGCTGTGTAGGAAGCAGGCAGGGCGCCAAGTAGGGACATAGGGCCTGGATATTCATGTTGATGGTGGCGAGAGAAAGCTCTCATTGACATTGGTTTTCACTGTTTCGATTCTTCATTCATTGGTGTTATATTGGTGCATTTCTGCTTTCTGGACATTGTGATACTATCTGGCCGTCAATGTGATTGTGCGTTCTGGACATTGTCATCTCGCTATTGCTCATTTTCCTTGCATCTAGTGCTTTTCACATATTTCCCTGGCATGGTGGAAATTACTGCACATCCCTGATGATTGAGATTGTGTGGGCCCACCCCACCTCCCCATCCTCCTTCCATGGTGCCGCCCCTTGGATCACGAGTTTCTGTGAAAGGGTCCCAGGACTGGCATTCAACTGTTTGTGGAGAGTGCACATGTTTTGCAGGGAGCATGCATAAACGTACTAAGTCAGTCTGAATGCAATCATCGCAGGAGTGTGTGGTCCTGGAGTGCTTTTTAGTGTGCGTGTGATAGAGCATGTGCCAGGTGAGTGTTTGCTGCTGTGCGCAACCACCTTCCGGTGAAATGCACTTGTATGCACATAAGAAGTATTGAGAACCTGGTTGGGATATAAAATCATTAGGATCAGGGTTGCATACCTGCGGACTGCCGACCCCGACCGCCGACCATTTTGCAGCCGAGCAGTAGGGCCGACCGACCGGTCGGCGGTCTGCCGACCAGTCAGAAACACAGCCATCCACTGATTTTTTGTCGAATCTGAATTGGGGGCTGTACTGCGCTTGCTGAATTGGGCCCTGTACTGCCGCTTTCCAGCCATAAATAAAAGTTCTACTTTTGTTAAATAATATTATAATAATAATAATTATTAAAAAAAAAAAAAAAAAAAACGTCCAGGAAATGCTGAATGTGCCAGTCGTTTTTTATTTGTTAAATGTGTAAGAGTGGTTTTGTTACATAAAGCGCCTCCGGATGCTAATTCACGGAAAAAGAAATGTGCTGACACATAGTTGCGACTCCCATGGTGGTTTCATATGTATGTTGTCATCTTCTTGATTACCCTTTCACAGCTTGCAGGCACTTCATCCTCTCAAGACTGGCGTATGGATTATCGACAAACAGACCCAGATACTTGCTGTGTCTCAGAGCTTTGAGCCGCTCTGTCAGGTGGAGCTAACTTTACAGCCAGGGATCTATAGGGTTCTGACGAAGGCTTTTGCGTACAGGAGCGGGACAGGCATATACAAGTTTCCCGATCGCAGAGGCGCCATTCTGCCCCGGCAATTTACGCTGTCGGTTCTAGCAGATAGACCTGTGGATGTGTTCTTGATGACAGGTCCCCGCACTGCGAAGCTACTTACACCGGTAGAGTGACCTGCTGCCATCTGAAGACAGCGATGCAGGGGAAATTTTGTGCCTATTCTTTAGAACTTCTGAGCTTTCATTCTTTAGTCCGGATTCCGTACTGTTCTTCTACGCAAGGGCTTCAGGAAGGGCACATGCTTGTCTCAGAGAGAGAGAGAGAGAGAGAGAGAG